TCGTGTTTATTCGGAACAAAAAGCAGGTCCTGCTCCAGATGGTCTGGCAAATTTGCCTTAAAGATCTAAAGTGATATTGATTAAGCAGGAAAATTCATTCGACTCCCTATAGAAGTAATTTCTTGTTTAATAGGATGATGGGACAGACCCGGGAGACGCAGGACATGGTGCGAAGTGTTGTCTATTCTGTGCAACAGGGTTGCCACGCACGTAGTAGCTTCAAGAAACACTTCTGTGTTAGCTCATGTTCCGTGTGTTGGGGACACAGCTCAGCAGGGCGGCTGCTCCAGGCCTCCACCCAGGCCACGGCCGTGTTGATGGGGCTCCTCTCCTGTGAGACTCGCCGGGGAAGGATCTGCTCGCAGTCTCACTGGGCTACTGGCGAATCGCAGCTTCTAGTGGTTGTGGGGAAGTGGCTTTAGGGTGTTGCTGGGTGTTTTGCTTTAGGGTTTTTAGAGGCCGACTCAGCTGCCAGGGCAGGGCAGAGCTGTGCCACCAGAGCCTGCCGGCGGCTTCTTGCCTCTCCAAGCCCAGCAAGAAAGAGCCTCCAGCAGGGTGGGGCTGCAGATCGCGCACCCCTGATCGCAGGCCTCCGCTCTCCTGGCTGGAAGCTGGTCCCGGTGCTGCCTCTACTCCTGGGAGAGACGTGCGGGGATGAGCCCAGGGGATGAGCCCAGGGGGTGGGGGTGGGCCGTCACCTCATCTGCCTGCTTAGGGCTGAGAAAAGACCATCTGATGACTGGATCAAGAAGATGTGGTCCATATACACCATGGAATATTACTCAGCATTCAAAAAAGATAAACACATGCAATTTGCAGCAACATGGATGGCGCTGGAAGGGATCACGCTCAGCGAGATAAGCCAGAAAGAAAAAGAAAAATACTGGATGGTCTCACTCATAGCAGGAATCTAGAAAACTTAAATAAGGGACCAGGAAAATGAATAACTATAAGAAAGTGAAAATCAAAATCAACAAACAACTATGAACCAGAGACACTCTGGGGGGGGGGGCGGGAGGGGAGGGGTTGGGGTCAAAATAAGGGGGTTGCAATTGTATGGGGAATATAAAAATAAAATTTATTAAGAAAAAGAAAAGGCCATCTGAAATTAAAACTCAAAAGTGTCTTTTTAAATACCCTCCACCCTCATCGGGCGCCCAGTTAAAATCGACCCAAGAGCACCAGCGTCAGCAACACCGGGACACCCGGGCCCGGCTCCGGGACCCCTGGGGCCGCCCTCGCACGCGCTTCACCCTACCCGGCAGAGCCCCCCTCAGCAGGCGCAAACGGAGGTTGTTTGGGGGTTATTGGGGGGACGCGGCTTTTCCCAGCACCCCGCAGGAGCGCGCTTGCGGCCTGTGCGGGGGTGACGTGTCCTGACCAAAAACCACAGAATGAGAAGCCGAAGCCGGTTTGGCACTGAACGCGGAGGCTGCGCCGCTGCAGGCCTGGCGGGGCTGACGACGAGCAGCCGTCGGGGCAGTCGTCGGGGCGGCCGTCGGGGCGGCCGTCGGGGCGGCCATCGGGGCCACCGCACAGACTCCCCGAGCGCACCCGTGCCCGGGCGGGGGCCAGCCTCCCGGCCTCCCTGCGGGTCAGCCGCCCCCCCCCCCCCTGCCCGGCGCCCCTGCGAGGCTGCCCGTCTCGGAAGCTGGCGAGGGGGGTGCTCTCCGCCGGGCGCCCCGGGAGCGCAGGCGCCTCCTCCACAGCGCCCTGCACCCCCCCGCAGCTCTGCTCCTTGGCGGGAGAAGCCCCAGAATCCCCTTGTTTCTGAAATTCAGAGCTGGGGCGTCAAGGTGGGCAGAGATGTGGGGTTTCTCCATCCATCCCCTGGGCCACGCCCTGCCTGTCCCAACCTCCACGATTCGGTTTTCATGCAAATATCTTATTTTAATCCAGGAAGACGGAACAGCTGTTTTCTGTCCATTTTCCTCTGCCTCGCTGCAGCCCGGGGCTGCATGGAATCTACCTGCGAGAAGTCGTCCAGCCAGCGCTGCCCGCAGCCCCCGGGTCTCCCCACCTCGGGGCTGGGGTGCAGCCGGCCCGGCGGCGTGGCGCGCGCGCCCCCTGCTGCCGGGAGCGGGAAGCGCGGGCGCCCGCGAGGAGCCCGCCCGCCCCTTCTCCCCTTCTCCCGGCGACCAGGATTGTTAAAATGAATAATTTATTAATCCACAATTGTTTATTGACTGCCCTTTCGTTATTTACTCTCCCGTTATTAAACTCGCTCACGGCTTCCCGAGCCCAGGATGCCCCCAGCCCGCGGCCTCCCTCCACGCAGGCGATTCGATCCCTGCTGTCAGGTCAGGGTCAGACAACGCTGCTCTGTGACGACTTTATCCATCCTCCGCTGATAGACTCGAAGTGGGAAGATAAGTCAGCTGCCGCCTCGCCGCTGCCCGAGCCGGACAGGCGTGTGCGCGCTGCTCTGCGGTGCCGGGAGCTGTGGCCGACGCAGGTAGCCGGGTGAAAGGAGGAAAATCGGTTCTAATGCCTCAGATCAGTCTCCCTGCCTCACAGCCAGGAGCAGATGACACCGCCCCGGCTGTCCTTGCAAGCTGGGCAGGCGGGGGCGATGGCCCAGTCCCTGCGCAGGGAATAAAGGAGGCCTGCATGACCTGCACGGCCTGCACGGCCTGCACCACCTGCACCACCTGCACCACCTGCACCACCTGTAAGCCCTGATCTCGAGGGACACAGAGTCAGGTCACATGGAGGCGGGGTGGGGTAGAGGTGGAGAGGGTCTTTCTCCAGGAAGAAAATTCCTGGGCTGCAGGTTTGAAGGGAAGCATCAGGGTGGACTCAGACCAGAACCTGCTTTCAAGGAGCAAACATTTCCACCGTCCAGGATTGCAGGAATGCACGCCATGGGCAGGGCATGGCTGAGGCTCCAGGCAAAGAAGGAAGCAGAAATTCCCAAAAGTGCATGGCGATTTTATCCTAAAAACATATTGTTTAAATTTTGATTTATAAGCATACTACACACAAGCTCCACCTCTCCTGCACATTCATGTAAGAAATCATGTGTGTGTGGGGGCGGGGGGTAGATGTCATGTTCAAGATCAATCAAGCTTAGATCTTCATTGGCAAGGGCTTTGAAAATTCGAAAATTTGGGAAGTCCAAAGTGTGCCTTTTTCTCTGCTGTGTTCTCCATCCCTGGTGCAAAACACGACACAGAGCAGGTGCCTCCTAGATCTCCTTTGGACCAAGAGACGCTAGAGCTGCACAGGAGGAGCGGCTGTCAGGCAGTACCCTCTCGAAGCCACATGGGGTGCCCATGTTGGAGAAGCAGGTGCCCTTCTGAGCGCGGAGGAGGAACCACCTCCTGGAACCCAGAAGCTGGCACCGTTGGCAGAGACACCCCTGGGAGGGACCAGCCACACGTATGTGGAGTCATCTGAAGACTAGTGCCAATGCAGGAAACACAAACAGAGTTTCAAATGAGCCCCAAATTGATTATTCTGTATGTGTTCAAGACCTGAAATTCATCTCCATCTTCAAGTCCTAAAATAGAAAGGAAAACCTAAAGCAAAGGCCATGCCAATCAGGAGTCGGAACCAATTCTGATCTTATTGTCCAGAGCTTAGATAATTAAAAAGTGGCAACATGGCCCAACACAGTACAATTTTAAAGCATGCAGACACGAAAAATAAGTTCCTGGACTCAGTGACTCCCTCAAATCACCCCCATTTGCACTCATATGCCTGCCGGGAGCCGTGTGCTCTCTCCAAACCTCAAGGCAGACATTCAGGTTTGCACACAGGGGGTTCTGGTCGAATTGCTCATCGGGGGCAATAGTGATAGTGATTTCTGTGTGTTCCAGCTCATGAAATGAGAAACGTATACAAAGCAGCTGCATGACTGAGCTGGAAATGCCTACAAGTCTGAATTCATTATTACAATTTTAGAAAATCACTACAATTGAAATATTTATTTTTAAACTTTCCATTGAGTTTTGCTTAACAATGATTAATACTTGCCCTGGCAAGGCCAGGCAACACAACCAGTTACCAAAAAAATAAAAACAAAAATTATCGAGCTACAGGAGATACGTGGGAGTCCCTGTCCCCGTTGGAGGGACAGCAAGAGAGAGGGGGAGAGAGAGAAAATTCCGAAAAGATTCAGGAGAGCTTCCAGCCTCCCCTGACCAGCTCCAGCCTCCTTGCGATGAACCACCCATCTGGATACTGGCCAGATCCAAACCCAAGGAAGGGAGTTTGCAAGGGGGGCCCTTCCAACACCCAGAAGACCGATCTGTTGTCACCTTGAAGGGAAATGATCATCTAATCCATTTTCCAAATATCTGTATTTCCTCAAAGAAAAAAAGAAAGACAGGGAGAAGGCGAGAGAGCACATCCTCCCGCCTCGCAGGAGGGAGCTGGAAATGTTCCGTCGCAGAGTCCGCCACCCGTGCGTGTGTCCACCTTGATCAGAATTCACCGGGCGCGATCACCGCGGCTCAAGCACTCTCATCGTTTTTATCAGAGAAATGGAGGGCGCTTGCACTGCTAAGTGCTTCGAAGCTTCCCGAGCGCGGACGCTGAGTGCCATGGGTGCTGTTATTCCCACACCTTCTTCCTCCGGGCCTGCAGCCCCCGGAGAATCGGAGATGTCAGAAATGGATGGGGAAGGTGCGCGGGCAAGGAAGGTGGTGGCCGAATGCAGGTGCAGGCACCGCAAACCATGCCCGGGTCCTCCCTCAGGCAGCAGCATTTCAGCTGGGCGCGCGCGTGAAGGCACAATTGTCTGGCTACAGCCCGAGTTCTCTGTGGGGTCCTCTGCAGGGAGCGAGTAAAGAAACAGGAAATGGAGGGAGAAGCTTAGTGTGTGGCGAGTGTCCGTGACTGTCACTGTTTATGAAGCTCTTCTAGAAGGGTCTCGGGTGCGGACGGTTTACAGAACAAGGTGGAGACATAAATGAGCAAGGTCCTGCCTCCGGGGTTATTTGCCGCAGCCCTTTCTGTGACCCCGTGGAGAGCTGGTGATGTTGCAGAGAATCTAGCTGGGAGGAAGCAGGAACTTGTCACAGCGCCAACATGCTGAGCAAAACAAAACAAGACGTGTGGCTTCTGTCCAGGGGAGCTGAAGGATTGGGGTGCTGGCCTCCTCTCTGGGGGGCAGGGAGAGAATTCTTCCACCTCCCTCACCACTGTGTTCATGGCTGGTTTCCTCCCAATCGGGACAGTGAGACCAGGACCCTGCGCAGGGAAGCGCTGGGAACCAGAGGAGCCCCCCATCACCCTCACCCCCCAGGCCCCTGCTCCCCCCTCCACCACGCCAGCAGGGACAAGCCAGTGGGCCTAGGTGGCATCGGGGGAGGCTGCCTGTCACAAAACAGACCCCCCAACAAGGGCCACCTCTTGCAGGGTGACTTCTGGACGCTTCTGGGAGCAAGGCGGCTGGGGTGCACGGCCTGTGTTTTCAGGAAGAAAGGCTGCTTCCTAAGCAGGCTGCCATTCTCCTTCCCGGCATTTCTGGGTGGGGGGGTCCCAAGGGAAGCTGCTGGGGGTCTGATGTGCGGCGGGACCCTCGCCTGCGGGCACTCTGGGGTGCTCTCTGGAAGGGGCCGCTCAGGCAGGAAGGTCCCGGGACCTCGGCCAGGGCCCGGCAGGGTCGGCCTCCCTTCTCGGCAGCAGCCTGGATCCCTAAACCAGGGCCCAGGTCCGCCCAGCAGCAGGAATAACATGGGGTCCCCAAAGGGCCAACCATGGCAGCTGCCTTAAAATTCCTAATAATTTCATCCTCGAACCTGTGCCTCCAGGTGAAGTTCAAGGCACAAGGGAGCGTGAACCGAGGGGCTCAAGTGCTCCCACACCCTGTGTGCCGCGTCCCGCCATTGGGAGGCCCCCAGCAGCATTCCCAGGGGGTGCGGGGTTCAGCGTGACTCAGTACGTCCAGGCCTGGGGGAGTGGTACCCCAACAGCAGCCCCCCAAAAGAGGCCACATGTGCCTCCACACCGCTTGGCCTGGAGGATTCACTCTGCTGGGCAGCTGCTGGGGACGCGGGCGGGCAGCAGGGGCCAGGCGTGGGCCAGGGCCGTGCCCAGGGCGACATTCACACGACCGATGGGGCAAAGCAGGTGTGAGTCCCTAACTGCCTCGGGCTTTTCGGCTTCTGCGTGTTTGTTGACGAGCACCGAAAATTAAAGGCAGTTGACAAACAGGTTGAAAAATATTTACAAGCTTGACAGAAAAATAACACATTTCCTTCGCATTTTAAAAGCTCGCCCCAATAAAGCAATGGGAATAAGACACAAATAAGCCGTTCACAAAAGAACGGCACTTGACCAACAATAATGTTTTTAAATTCACTGGTAAAAGAATGCAAATAAAATAACCAGGACATACAGGTTCCCACCCAGAAGGGTAGAAAACACAAAAATGAAAATAGCAGCAGCAGAGGTGGAACCGGAAAACTCTCAGCTAATGAGACCAAAACACTGAACAAGGGGCGGGTGGGAGGCAGGATCAGTGGGGTGTGGGAGGAGTGTGGGTGATAGCATATAATTGAAGAGGTATGAATCTGTACCCGGAAAACACACAGTGAGCAGTAAAACAAGGCAACGCAGAGAAAAGGAAAAAAAAAAACTGCTTTTTTAAAAAAGAAATCAGGAATAGCATTTAACATTTTGAGGAATCCACTAAAGAGATGATAGGACATTTATAAAGACGAATGTGCAAGATTATGCACTACAGCATTGGTTAGAACATCTAAAAATTAAAATCACCTACAAATCCACCTACAGGGTAGAGGATTAATCCAATTTGGTAAATCCATACTATATATGCAGATGTTGAAAAGTAATTTGATAACTTTACACCTATCTAGAAAATGTACACCAGAAATTGTGATTTTTTTCATAAAGAAAGTTATAGAACAGGGCCTCCCTGGTGGCACAGGGGTTAGAGACAGTGCTTTCAAGATGCCCAGGGAGCAACCCACATGGCGCAGCAGACCTCTCCTGCCTGGCCCGCTGCTCCCCTCAGCAGCAGATTTCAGTAGATCTGCCTGTTCTGCTCCCCATTCTTTCTCTGTTGAATCCTCTCACCCCCACACACCTCTATCTACGCCCCAGTTCTTATATGCGTAAATAAATAAATCTTTAAAAAGAAAAAGAAGGCCTCCCCGGTGGTGCAGCAGTTGAGCGCTGGGCTGCGAAGCCGCCCGCAGCCTCTGCAGCTCCGGTTTGATCCCCAGCCACTGGGCAAGGGTTCCACATGGCGCGCAGACCTCTCCTGCCATGCCCACTGCTCCCCTCAGCAATGTATTTGGTAAGTCTGCCTGTTCTGTTCCCCGCTCTGGCTCTGGTGAATCCTCTCACCCTCCCGTGCTTCTGACTGTACCCAGTGCTTGTATAAATAAATACATAAATATTTTTAAAAAAAGAAAAAGAAAATTATAGAACATAAAATGATCCCATTTGGGAAAAACAATGTCTACATAAAAGATTATATATTCCTAGCATCTTTCTGGAGGAGACGATACATTAGGGTTAACTTTTAGAGGTGGAATTAATTGCAGAAGAGAGGAAATAAGTACAACTTACTTTTTTCTTTATCCACTGCTGTAATGTTTAGGGAAAAGATTTCACAGCATTTATCCTTCCTGTAACATTTTAAATTTTGACTGTTAATATTAATTACGATAATTTACTCCACACCTCTACAGTAAATTAAGTGGCCATTTGTATTTCTGCAAAAAGAAAAGCAGGTTGCTCAATAATAAATATCTAACATGGTCATGTTGGTGTAAAATTGGTGTCTATTCAGAGAAGAGTTAGCTGGGTGAAAAGATGTTCATCAAATATTAACAGTACTTATCTTTGAGAACTGGTAATGATTTTTACTTTCCTCTTTATGCTTTTCTTACTTAAATATTTGTGCCCTAATTTTGCCAACTTTACTGGGAACAGAATGTCAAAACCCCCCAAATGCTGTTCATCCCTAATCTATTTATTCAGAAACACATTTTCAAATGTAATCATGTACCAAGATGTTTTTTTCCTTAACTAACTTGTTCTTATCCCAAGTACAATGTTTAATGCTTAAAAAATATTTTTAAATGGGGCCTCCCCAGTGGCGCAGTGGTTGAACGCTGGGTTGTGAAGCTGTCCACAGCCTCTGCAGCGCCGGCTCGATCCCCGGCCGCCGGGCGAGGGTCCCACATGGCGCGCAGACCTCTCCTGCCTCCCGCTGCTCCCCTCAGCAGTGTACTTCGGTCCTTCTGCCTGCTCTGCTCCCCGCTCTGGCTCTGGTGAATTCTCTCACCCTCCCACGCTTCTGACTGTACCCAGTGCATGTATAAAAACAAAACAAACAAATAAATAAATAAAAACTGCCTCTATAAGAAATAAATAAATAAAAATATTTTTAAAGCATGGACCTGACCCAAAATTACCACTATATTAAATATGCAGGTATTTTCCCAATTTTGTCCGATGACAGGAAGTATTTCAGGACCTTGCTAAGTCTCAATTCCTTATGAGTCTGTTCAATAATTCTCACCAGGAAAAATGGCAGTTTTATCCTTCTTTTCAACTGAGATTTAGAATCCAAGAACTAGAGTGAATTCTCACCTGACAGTTTATTGCATTTTTCAAGATATACTGCAGGACATTTATTAGTAAACTATGAAGTATTATCACCAGTAATTAAAACTAAACTGCTCCTGTTGTAAAGAATGCAGTCAGAGAAGCAATACTATTACTTTTTATTGTTGATTTGCTCTTCCTTTAATCTAATATAAAATTTTCTTTACTAAGGTGCTAAGGCATTTATCTTAGAGCTGATGCTTACAACCCAGTTTGTTTTTTACTGAGAAGACTAAGGGAACGCACAGGAAAAGATTTCTAAGGTGCAAAGAGCCAGGAGCACTGGTATACTGCAGGTAGACATAATGTAAGTTGACTTCCAAAAGAAGGTAATCTGCCCCATGGAGGACCTTAAAGATACATATGCCCTTGGCCACCAACATTCTACTTAGTTTTTAGCCTAAAAAATGAATTGTGAATGTACAGAATGTAAGACTCTCCAACCACTGAAATTGATATTTTTAAAATTGTCCAAATAAATACTTCTATGTAATTAAAAATTATGTTTTAGAAGGATAGTTAATTACAAGGCAAAATGGGGGGAAGTAGTTCACAAAATAGTATACGGAACATGATCACAATTTTTGATAAATAATAGGTAGATGACAGGTAGGCGGGCAGATAGATGACAGGTAGGTAAGGAGGTAGGTAGGTAGACAGGTAGGTAGATGATAGATGGGTGGTAGGTACAGATAACAGCTGAATAGTCCCTTCCTTCTCAGTCAGGGATTCTTGCTAAAGGGCTGCTGAGGGTTGGGGTGCAGACCCCTGCTCTCTAGGAACCGAGCCAGGCACCCACAGTCCTCCAGTTCTGTCCTCTGCTGAAGAAAAAATTTCAGAGACAGGCTCTGTCCACACCCGGTGCCCCAAGTGAGGGGCTGGAAAGAGAAAAGGCCACCCTGGGCCGGACTCCTTCCTTTAATGGGTTTTGAAGGTTTCTTTTTACCAAAGAAATCTTGAGTGTCTCCTGCAGCTGCAGGAGAAACATCCTATTTGGAGGTAATTGAAAATGTGTTTTATATCCACTTAGGAACTCTTCCAAAGAGCTTTCTCTTCTGCTCAGCTCTGAGATTCACCAGGTGAAGAGTGACATCTAGTGTGTCACTGAGGAATCTGAGGCGTAACTGGGCCTGAGATCTGGGCTGCGAGGACTCTAACCTGTGTCCACCGGATACCTAATAACTCCAGGGGGGAATGCAAGGCTGAGGTCACGGAAGTCTCAGGAAGAGGTAAGTCATGAGAAAGGTGGCTTTCTCTTTAGACCGTTGAAGGCACCTTTTGTCTTCCTCGGCTTGGACATGGCAGACTCATGTCTGCATCTTCACAGCATCTTCTGTACTTGTCTGTGTCCAAATTTCCTCTTTTGACAGGAACACCAATCAGAGGGGTCACAAGGGCCCGCCCAGGGACCTCACCTTAACTTGGTCATCTCTGTGATCACTCTCTCCCAAAGCAGGTCACACTTCTAGGCACTAGGAGTTACAGCTCAGCAGAAATGGACTTTGAGGGGCACGTCAATGTGAGTATGAAAATGATTTTGACATCAGACTCTCAAGTGGAGCTGGAGACCCCAAGTTTCCCTGGACATAATTTAAGGACAGTGCCTTAGGAAAGTTCCCCAATAACTTCTGCAGCTTCTGACTGCCCCTGGATGCTTGTCTTCCTGGGCCCATCCTGGCCTTCCCAGGAGGCTGGATGGACTTCTTGCCCCAACCTACCCAAAACACAGTGCAAGACCCAGCCCTCGAAGCTGCGCTTGCAGGTGGGTCCACAGAGCCTGGTCCGGGGAGACAGCACGTTGCGGGAACAGACTTGAACAGACACTAATCCAAACCCAAGACACCTTGGCTCTGTCCTCCACAATGAGCTCACTCCATCCTCCCTCCCACAGGTTAGTCAACAACTCTCCACATTAGGTAAGTGATATTAGCGGATGTGCCTGTATCCATTAGGATTAAGTTTAGTTGAATATAAGAACAAGGAAACTGTTTACATTGGCTTACATAAGATAGAGAGGCCATTCTCTCATACATAAAAGGAATCAGGGGCAGGCAGTCCAACACCAACAAAGGTAAGTGACATTGTCTGCACAGAACTGTTAGGGACCAGCATACTCCCCAGCTCGCCGTCAGCCTTCTCCAGGTGGTGGCACTCTTCCTCAAGGTCCAAACTGGCTGCTGAGTTCCAGCCACAGCAATCGTATTCCACCCAGGAGAAATGGAAAACCTGTCCTTCTCGGGAGTTCTGTCTATTTCCTCCCACTAAGACAAGACCAAATCCCATATTTCCCAAGGAAATCAGGAATGTCTTCTTTTAATTGGGTGACAATATGTCTAACCAGTGACTCCGGGGGGAGGGTGTGTGCACTAGAGGAAGCCCTAAGCAGCGCTCACCGCAAATCACCACTTAGCTGCCTGTCCCCGTGGAGAACATCAAGGTCAAATGGAGAGTAGACACCCGGCAGCCGCTAGGTGACTCACCAGCACTGACTCATCCCTACCTACCTAAGCTTGCCAGCCAAGTTCTTTTCCTACATGTCCTAAGCCTTCCAGATTGCTAAAAATATTCCTAACTCTGCATGTTAATTTCTTGAATACAAAGAGGTGACTATTTAGCACATTCTCTAGATTTCCAAAGTGTATATTCTATGTAAAAAATCATCTTTATCAAACACTCAAAGAAAATACCTTTAAATATGAACCTGAAAGTTTACAGGTTGATTCTGAGTCATAAGAGAATTATGTCATGTTTTTGTTTTTTCCATTATTTTCTATAGATAAACATGTTCCGCCAACGTATTTCCACTGCTTCTATGATTAGATAATGCAGTCATTTCTTTGCCAGAGCCCAGCCTTCTAGCCCTGTCATTCATTAGTTGAGGGATTTATTCCTCTAGAACCCACAGTAGCTGAAACCAGAAGACAATTTAGAAATCTGATTCTTGAAACAGTGCTTTTATCAGCCCTGATCCAGGACTTCATTTCAACCCATGTGTCTTGGGTTAAATTTAAAAATTACACCATGACCTTTCTTACTATTGCAAAAGAGCAATTCCCATTGTTTATGTCTTGTGGTTTAAACAGAGCCTCAAAATGAGTATAACCCACAACCTACATTCTTTGAACAACAGCCATCAAGTTCAGCTCTGCTATTGCACTGGAGCATGAGTCAGGATGAGTGAATTCAGACTTTATAAGGGAAAAGGAATGCATTTGTTTTCCCAGAAAACCCTCGGGAGGAATCCCCCTCTGCATGATTGACTTTGCCATTTTCCAGGAAACTTGCAAAGAAGGGGAATCAGCAGGTCTGGGAATTGACTACCAAGTCCATTGGAGCGACCCCATTACCAAGGGAGCTCCAGAGAGAGGGTCGGGGCTGCCCCACAGACGCAGGCCCCTGGCTTCCAGAGGGAGCCTGCTAATCTAATTACCCCACACCCACCCACGCTGCTTTTTCTCTGGAAAAGACATTCACTGAAAAACTGAAAGGCATGTCTTGGTCTTTACATTTGAGTTTGTGGCCCTACCCTGGCGTCAAAAGACTGACAACCAATTCAGACACGCCAGCCTTGCTAGAAAAACACCCAGAGGCGCAAGTGCAGGAGAAATGGCTGCAGCACCAGCAGCCCAGGTGTGTCTGCGGAAGGCCTGTGTCACTTGCGAGGCTACAACGACTAAGCAGGTCTGCACAGGAGAGAAAGCTCCATGATTTGTCTCAGGGAAATAGAGAGGAAGCTGGTGGTTGCACTGACTGGGATCTGATCCTGTCCAGCCACTGATGAGCACAGGAAAGCAGTGGATCCTAAAACCCACGCTGTCATTAGACACCAGCCAGACCCTCCCGAGCACAGCACAGCCCAAGCCACAGCCGCGTGGGGTGAAACAGAAAACACTCCAGCAGCAGAAGCGGATGCCCCGGCACTGAGGCAGCCAGGACCCCTCACGTCCATGGCCACGAGCCCACCCCTCGCACGCTAAGTAGAATACTTGCTTCCTCCCCCCAGACCCCTTGACCC